ACATTTATGTTCTAGATCTTGCTTGCTCACTTGTTATACAAATATATTTTTTGTTATCTATTATTATTTATGTTTTTGGAGGTTTGTTGTTTTGGTCTTGTTTTGCCTTTTTGTACAACTTGTGACAGCTTTGCAGTGTTAAAGGTAGTTATTTGTCACCAGGTTCTGTTCTTATTTTACCTTTATGTCTAGCCTCTTCAAGACCATGCTAAATTTCAAATATGTGACAACACAATTTTAATTTAAAATATGACATTCTACAGCTTGAGTATTTGTTGTGCACAGGAATGTAATCACTGTGCACAAATAACTAACTAGTGTGCACAAGAAAGTACTTTTTTCTCTCCAATGTTCTTTTAGGGGCTCAAAATCGCATTGTAAATTTTTTAAATAAAAATGAGGAAAGAAAAGCAGTGGCCTTGTTATAACACACCAAACCTCCTTGAGTTGTATATAGACAGTATATATATATATATGTAATCAGTACAGACCACAAGTTTGAACACACCTGCTCATTTAAAGAGTTTATTTTCATGATTATGAGGATTGTAGATTCACACTGGAGGCATCACAACTATGAATTAACACATGTGGAATTATATAGTTAAGAATAAAGAAAAAAACATCTGAATATATGTGTTATACTCTAGGTTCTTCAAAGTAGCCACATTTTGCTCTGATTACTGCTTTGAAGACACTCTGCATTCTCTTGATGAGCTTCAAGATGTAGTCACCTGAAATGGTTTTCACTTCACAGGTGTCCACTGTCAGGTTTAAGATTTCTTGCCTTATAAATGGGTTGGGACCCTCAGTTGTGTTGTGCAGAAGTCAGGTGGATACACAGCTGATAGTTCTACTGAATAGACTGTTAGCTGCTTTTTTTATTGCCATAATACAAATTCTAAGTAAAGAAAAAGAATTGGCCATCATTACTTTAAGAAATTAAGGCCAGTCTGTCTGAAAAATTGGGAAAACCTTGAAAGTGTCCACAAGTACAGTGGCAAAAACCATGAAGCACTACAAAGAAACTGGCTGACATGAGGACCGCCCCAGGAAAGGAAGACCTAGAGTCACCTCTGCTGCGGAGGATTAGTTCATCAGAGTCACCAGCTTCAGAAATCACAGGTTAACAGCACCTCAGATTAGAGAGCAGGTCAACGCCACACAGAGTTCTAGCAGCACACACATCTCTAGAATAACTGTTAAGAGGAGACTGTGTGAATCAGGCCTTCATGGTAAAATAGCTGCTAGGAAACCACTGCTAAGGACAGCCAACAAGCAGAAGAGACTTGATTAGGCTAAAAAACACAATGAATGGACATTAAACTAGAGGAAATCTGTGCTTTGGTCCGATGAGTCCAAATATGAAATCTTTGGTTCCAACCATCGTGTCTTTTTACGACGGAGAAAAGGTGAACAGATGGAATCTACATGCCTGGTTCCCACCGTGAAGCAAGGAGGAGGAGGTGTGATGGTGTGGGGGTACTTTGCTGGGTTAGGGGATTTATTCAAACTTAAAGGCATACTGAACCAGCATGGCTACCACAGCATCTTGCAGCTACATGTTATTCAATCCAATTTGGTTTAGTTGGACCATCATTTATTTTTCAACAGGACAATGACCCCTTACACACCTCCAGGCTGTGTAAGGGCTATTTGACCAAGAAGGAGAGTGATAGGGGGCAGCACCAGATGATCTGGCCTCCACAATCACCGGAACTGAATCCAATCAGGATGGTTTGGGGTGAGCTGGACCGCAGAGTGAAAGCAAAAGGGCAAACTAGTACCTCTTGAAGCTCATCAAGAGAATGTAGTGTGTGCAAAGCAGTAATCAGAGCAAAAGGTGGCTACTTTGAAGAACCTAGAATATAAGATATATTTGCAGTTTCACACTTTTTTGATAATTATATAATTCCACATGTGTTAAAGCACAGTGAATTCAACATTCAAAGTAAATATATATATATATATATATATATTTATATATATAGAAAGAGAGAGAGATCTATAATTTTTTCTACCTCACTCCTGTTTGTGTTGGCTGTTATCCCAGATATATCTCTAAAAAAATTCCAGATTTTTTTACCGCCACAAAAATGAAGTTCCTCACACAGCACTCCGTTTCATAAATGTTCCATTTATTGACTATGAGGTGGTAAAATACGCTTGATATTGCGATTAATTGTCCCATTGATGCACAGCGACATCTGCTGGTCATTTAAAATACCTGTCGTGAGTGTCAAATTTACCATGTCTGTCCTGTCGCAGTTAAATCTCTCTGATGACTTTATTCCGAGTAAACCCTGTAGCTATAAAAAATATAAATATATATTACATCTAAATATATGTATATATTTATATATGTATAAGACCTGCTTTAATTTCGAACACAAGCAAAAGCTACAATGAGGGCAGGAAATACAACGAAAGTTTCTCCATGCCATGCCTTTATTTTGAAGGGCACCGGACCGGCGGGCTTGAAAGCCACGCCCACTTCTGAAACCGAAAATTGACTGGTGTTTCCGTTTTGGGGGCGAAAACTAAAAAACCAAAATCATGCCGTTTAATGGATTTTGGTTTTATGTGCAGAAACCACAAAACGGGAAAACGAATCGTTTTCTGAGGAGAAAAAGGAGAAAACGGACGTTTTTCTGTTTTTTCCATGTTGAATTATACTGTTTAATCAAACTGTTAAAAAGTACCTTCGTCAAAATGGTATAGTTTCATGCTCACTTTGCATTCTTGGAAATTTAATATGTTTAGACCGGCCATTGATGATTCAAATCACAAAACGTTTAAAAATTGACTTCAAACATTTAATCTCATGAATTTGGGCTTTCACTGCCATCTGCTGTCATATGAGAGTAAGTACAACTTGACGACCATAAGCTTTTTCATATTTTTTTTGTCATTTTAAACATGAAACTACCAAAGCACAAGCCAAGTAGTAGAACTAAATGTTGAAAATAAATTAAACGCTAAATAAAATAAACCAGGTCACTTAATAAAGCTGCATTTTTTGTATGCTTTGTATTTATATTCACATGATAATATTTTCAGAATTAATAATAACATTTCTGTTAAAGATTTCATTCATCTTCTGCACCAAGGGCATAAGTAGGGAGAACAAGCAGAGTGAGTTTTGTGTAATATCAGACTTTATTATTGAACTAAACAGGATTTAGACAGGATCAGAAAGGAAGGTGCATCTTCTTTCTGCCTTTCCCCAAAGATCAGGGATCTCCTGGTTGTGTCTGGTGCTGCAGTCTTCTTATTGGGTAAAACACCTTTAAATCTAGTGGCTGAGCACATAAAAGACAACCTTCTGATGATATGTCACCGGGCATTTCCAGCCAGAACGCGCAGTGACGTAAAAAACGCGCGCTCGCGTAAAATATGGATTGGAACTGCACGTTATTGTATGGACAATTATCGGCCCAATCGGCTTGCCATATAAAAGTTCCCGACGCACTGCTTCAGCTGCTCAGACGCGCTGCGCCTGCTGCTCAAAACGCGCTGCGGGACCTTTTGCTGCGCCTTGACGCGCGTCAACCATTGACTTTGCATGTAAACTCTCTGCTTCTGCCGTGCCTGCTGCGTCTGGTGTGAACGTAGCATCAGGAGGGCAGCTGGAACAGTATTAAGGCTAACTAGCCACTTAAGACTAAAGGCTAAGGTTGATGTTTGACGATAGGCTGGGCTACTCTGTCTCTATGATCAGGGCTACACGCATGTGGCACACAATGTTTGTGGAGAGTCATTTCATTCAAAATGACGTTAATTAATATTGCTATCGAAATTGTCAATATATATTCAATTATTGATTCAAGAAATATCTCATGAAATAAAAAACAAATACCTCACAATAATAAACTTTAATTTTTTTTTTTTTTTTACTGAAAAAAAGTAAAAAATATACACCTAATTCACACATGTATGTTGAGGGCATGTTGGTGACACTTAGTTTTTGTCTTATTTCACAGAATCTGCTGCTGGATCAAAAGTTCTTGGAATCAAATGACATGTGTCAAAGTCAGTCTGTCGCCCAAATATACACAAATTATGGCACATTCCCTCCAAAGACAGACCACAGCCAAACTTCCATCCTGTTGAAAAATGGAGATATGGGGGAGGGGGGCAGAAAAAGATAAAGAAAATCAATTTTATCCTTTTTCCACAGTCCATATGATGCTGATTTTCTCAGATATGCAAACACCCCGACAGAACTTTTTTGATAGCTGACACCTAGAAAATGATGCATTCTTATAGTTAAGTTGTGACTTCAGTAACTAAAAAAAATTCTGATAGTAAATGAAGTTATCAGTACATCATCACTACATCATTGTTTTATAATGGCTTGAAGCAAAACAACTAATGTAAGAATGATTATTCCTTTATTTTTCCATAATGCTGATGAACTTGGAATAGATATTGCAAAAAAATATTTCTTTCAGAATTGTCTGTATTTGTAGGATTCCATCAGCAGCTGCTCACAAAAGAAGAAAGGATTGTACTAGTTGTAAAAAGGTCTTGTTAACTGAAATATTTCTTTGCAAAGTGCAATAGCTGCACTGTGTGCATGAGTTCTGACTGGTGCATAATGAATGTGAATGTAGTATTCACACCCCGGAAGTAAGAATTGAATATCATTTGGAAAAAAGAAATGGCAAAAAAAGAAAATTAACTGAAAAACTTAATCAGAAAAAGGGTCTTTGATAGAAAAATGTATATGAAAATATAAAACCAGTTTGGAAAAATATTATATTTAAACAAATGAAAGGAAATTTAGGAAAATGAAAAAAATTCTCTGCTTGCAACAACAATGGCACAAAATTCACCTAATATGATGGTTCTGCTCACTGTAGATGTTTTAAAGCAAGAAAATATTTTATTCTTGAATCTGTCAGTTCATCAGAAAAACTGATGGTGGCACCTCTGAAAAATCTTGTCTTTGCCGTGATGACAATGGCATAAGGAGTGCACTTCCCCGAAGGCTGTGGTTCTGAAGGACATAAGAATTTCCCCCTTAACCCTATCAGCTAACATCTCATAAAGAGTGATTTTTGGACGGAGGAACAAGTTCTTTAAGGTGTGGAAATCATAAACGATCTTTAACAAATAATTTTGATATATAAGTATTGTTTTTAATTATTCACATTGTTCTTTTATACTATTGGACAGAGAAGTGGCAGTGATCCAGGGTCAGCCTGCATTCATTCCTCAAACCAAAAAGAATTTCAAGGTAAACACTGCATGAAAAGTGAGATTTTCCTCCCCGTAAACTCCCGCAGATCTCCCTGATTTTCGTCTGTTTCCGACAATTTGCAACCCGCGCTTGTCCGCGTTTGTCGTGCCACAAATTGTCGGAAATGGACTCTGACGTATGTGGAGAGCGATCAGCTGTACTAATGGCCCTAATTAGCATATGAATGCAGCAAACCCGCGCGGGTGGCCAGGTCTGGCTTGAATAACCTACTCAGTATTGGCTGAAACCACTATTCTCAAACAAGTGAAATCGCTCGTGATTGGCAGCAAAACCACACGTGGCCACGCCATGCTTTAATTTTCTTACTGAGTATTGGACAGAACCACTTCTTTTTAAACAAGTAAAGTAGCTCGTGATTGGTTGGCATATATATATATTTACATATATGTATATATATATTTATGAATATATATTTATTCATTCATATATTTATTCATTCATATATTCATTCATTCATATGCTGTGTATTTATGTTATCCTACACTACTACACAATTATTATGCTACCATCAAGGACATGAATGAATTTATACAGGAAATGAACATTTGCCAGGTAGCTGTTTATGCAAAGAAAGAGCTTTATTGAAACACACACAACTATATACAACGCGTATCCAAACACATGCGTATCTAAAAATTACAAGTCCATGAACGGTCTGTTTGCTTCCTCGGGGTTGGAGGTAACTGGCAGCTTTCCGTCCGAGGCAGGTCCGATGTGCAGATGCCTACTGTGCGTGGCCCTGTACTTCGGCATCGCTTCTAACCGGGACCGCAGCTTAACACAGAGTTCAGTGAGATCCGGCCTACGAAATGGCGGCGACTGTACAATCCATCCAGAGACACCGCCAACGACGCCATCTTCTTCGTCGGACATGAGGTTGACGGTGGCGGACTTCCAGAGTTCCACTTCCTCATCTGCTAGCACACTCTGCCTCGCTTTCAGCAGCTGAAAAAAAAAAACAATGAATCAGCGCACTGCGTATGGACACAACACATCTATCAATGCACCTGAAAAATAGTCACCAAATAAAGTCTTACTCTCTTTTTTCTAGCCCGACTCCGAGCTGATTGCTTGGCAGCCTCCGCACGCAACGTGTTCTCAGGCTCATATATCTGAAGCTCCCACGTACCGTCTCAAAATACGTCTTACAGGCAGCTGGAAAACAATTAAATGAGAGTGGTATGAATAAAAAATCAAACGCAAGTCACAGTAACAAGGAAGGAGAAAACATTAAAACAAGTCACTTACACACAATGTCGTCTTTATCAACATCGTGCAAATCTGGACTTGCTGATATGGCTCCGAGCAAATAGGAGGTCTGTGAAAACAAAATGTACAGCTATGATCGGTATCTATCCGTATCCATTTCCTTTTACCGCAGAATGAAAGCATATTCTTTAAATCTTACCCTTGCTCCGGTTCATAGCGTCTGCAATTAGTCTCAGAGTTGTGAAGACGGCGTACTGCTTCTTGTGAATGACAAAAAATACATTTTAATAAAGCTTGTTCTTGCAAGGCTACTATTAGCCGTAGCTTTAGGCTAGGCTGTTATTAGCCGTAGCTTTAGGCTAGGCTGCTATTAGCCGTAGCTTTAGGCTAGGCTGCTATTAGCCGTAGCTTAGGCTAGGCTGCTTTTAGCTTAGCAGGCAGTAATCGAACATATATTTACCGCTAGCATCTCTTCTTTGAGTTCGTCTTGTTCGACTGCAGAGTCGCCATCGGAGGAGTTTTACCCTGAAATCCCACACACTCTGCTCCAGACCGCCTGCACAAAGCAAAGCATCCATCCTCCGCTGTGGCTGCAGACCGCGCCGCTCTGAGTTTCTTGGAGATCGTAGAGAGCATGCGCGAGATGAACCAGTGTTTCCGCGGATCATTAAAAATAATTACAATTCATTCATTTTTTTTAAATCAAGGCCTTAATTGGCACTAAAATTATTTAAATATGTTTATCGAAGTATTTATAATTCTTTAATAAAAAATGCTTATAAAAACAATTTCGTCAGATATATTATATTGCTATTAATTTGCGTGGAACTGATCATAAAGCTGTATGTTCGGAAAGGAAGCTCCAGGCGGAGAAAAAGCTAGAGGATATATATATATACATATATATATATATATGTGTGTGTGTGTGTGTGTGTGTGTGTGTGTTTACATACATACAGGAGTCATGGAACTGTGCTTACAGCTCCTTCCTATTTCATGTACACTAATAACTTGTGTACATGGTTCTTGTTGATGGCATTAAAATCATTTCAAATAGCATTAAAATAGCATTAAATTAGAGTCACTCATTCCTGTATGAACCCTGTGAGCGCTTAATTTAATATGACATATTAAAAAAATCCCACCATCATCCAGCATATGTTCAGTTTCTGCCCAAATATATATATATATTTTTGTAGATTTTTGTAACGGGGATAAGGTTAATTCAAAACTGCTTTTTTTGAATGAACTTGTTCTCTACTCCCAAACTCAGCATCTCTTTTCATTCCTGTAATAAGAAGTTTCTTTTGAATGGATTTGAGTAAAGTTTAAGTCCCTCAGTATAAAATAAATATTTTGGTGGAGATGAGAAATCTGCTTCCTGGTTGGTGAATAACCAATAGTTTGGATCCAATCATTTAAATAAACAGTGTTATTTTTTATTTTTTTAATATATAAGAATTGTGCTATAATTTCTAGTCACCGATCTGTTGCTGCTATATTTTAATTTGACGAACCGGAATTTGTCGATGTTCTTTTTCCTGTTTGGTGCGATTGCAATTGCGGATCTTGACCTGGCCGGACCTTATCACCACAGTGTACCAATCTTCTGATGGCTACTTCCAACAGGATAATGCGCCATGTTATAAAGTGAATCATCTCAGACTCATTTCTTGAAACTTTTCCACTTATTTTTTATCTTAAATGCAATTTTTTTTTTTTTATAATTACTGCTCTAAATGTATTGCTCTGTCAGCTAAAGATCTGTTTTGGTCTCTATACTTTAATTAAATAAATCAATTCAAGCTAAAATGTAAGAGGCTATACTGAGCCTGATCTCTTTGTATCAGAGATTTTCTTACCTTTTAGAAAAATGTCACTTGGAGTAAACCCCCCCCTGCAACCCTGATTTGCATTTGTATAGCTCACAGCATTTTCATTTACATGTTAAAGCCTCCCCTAGAATTCCATGGGTGTTGGGATCCTCAGGCTTGCCCACCAGTGGGCGCCGAGGATCCTCTTCTGTTCTGTGTTTATTTTCCCTTAGGGCTGGAGTTACTGCTGGGATCTGGAGATTACCCTCTGTCTCCAGCAGAGTGCGCCGTGGGTCTCCTAAGGCTGGAATCTTCCTGCACACCTGTTGCTAATCCTCTCATCAGTAGACCTCTCCTTTATAAGCTCCTGCCAGACCTTGCTTCCACGCCGCAGTGTTGATCTTAGTTGGTTAGCTTCCAGAGCCTCTGTTATAGATTGAATCTTGGTTGTCTCTAGTGTGAGATTCAGATTCTAATCTTTCCTTTGTCTGTTCCTCACAGGAACCCTGTCTCTGGTCTGAAGCTCAGGAAGAGCTGCCCCTCGGAACCCTGTCTCTGGTCTGAAGCTCTGGGAGAGCTGCATCACAGGACGCCTGTCTCTAGCCTGAAGCTCTTGGTGAGCTAAACCTGCTAATCTGCCCTGGTGAGACAACCCGAAGATTCCTACATGGATGTAACCTGATGACTTCTATGTGGAGTTTCCCTAGAGGTTCCTATGTGGAATCGGCCTGAAGAATCCTATGTGGATGCTCCCCTGTTGTTCCCTGCTAAGAGCTGGAAGCTCAGCCTGAAGAATCCTTCGTGTTTACTCCCTGTTGTTCTCTGCAGTGAGCTGGAAGCTCAGATCAAGGCCAGCCATGCTAAGCATGAAGCTAGATGCTTAGCTTTTCATGAACTCTGCTAACCTACATCTCCCGTCCCTGTACAGTTCTCCAGTGAACCTGCTCCCCTGCCTGAATCAGTTCCCGTATCTTATTGATGTTTGTGCTTCAATAAACTCTTTTGGACTTTTACCCAGTTTCCCGTGTGTGTTCTGCATTTTGGGCTTAACTCTCTAGTACCCATCATGACAATGGGGGGGAGGCATGGGGGGAACACTGCCTAAGAAAGTCCACGTCAATTTCTGACAATTTACGGGAGTTTTTGGCGAAGCCTGCAAATTGCCGTAAACTGCCGCTAACCTGAAGTTCCAAGACAATCTACAGTGCAGCATATTGACGAAAATCCCACTTTTCATCCAGTGAAATGTGAAAATGTGTCTTTTATTTGATCCTAATCACTGACTAGAGCTTCATCCAACCTAGCCACCACCTAGTATAAATGACTGCCAGGTTCTGAGGTGCTTGTACTGTTTTCACTGCTTTGCCTCATTTTTGGTTAATGAACAATCAAACACCAATGAACCTTCCAGGTGCATTTTAGAGCTTGACAAAGAAGATGCTGCTGCTGTTGGGCTGGCCAAACAGGGGGGAGCTTCTGACTAGAGGGGTTGGTTCAGTCCCTGAGAAGGACCTGGACCAAATGATCAGCAGGAAGGAGTTAGAGTATTTGACTTTGGTTTGTGATTAACCTGCAGGGACCAGTGCCAGTGACGCCCACTTCCAGGTCTACCACCTGGAAGGTGCTGATGTGCTGGAACCAGGACCAGATGGAGGAGGCGGTCAGGGGGAACTACAGCAGTGCTGAGAGGGAGGCTGTGGACAGACTCCTGAAGACTCCCTTAAACGACCGCTACCAACCTTGGGGGGCGTAAAGAGACAAGAAGGATTCCTGTCAGCTCATATATGTTGACAACAACTAATAAACATCTATAATGGATTGTCTAATGGTGGTGTCTTTCAACAAAAATTCATCATTGATATGAACGTACCAAAGCAACATGCTAGTAGTAAAAGTATCAGACTCAAATTGTACTTGTAATACTACTTTTAAAAATAAGTATTTTGTAAGAAAAAACTTCAAGTATATCAGGCATTATTTTATTAAGTCTTTTTTATATTCATATTTTATATTTTTTTATTCAGATGATAATACTAAATGATAATTATTAAACAAGGTAATCAAGTCAGGTCAGTAGACTATTTAACTTGGGTTAGGTTCTTCACTAATATTTCATTATTTTGTTTTCCTGTGTACTTCCAAAGGTGATGCTGGTATGGAGTATCTTTACGGACAGTATGGTCAATCCCTGACTGTCATTGACAGATCCAGAGGAAGAGGATTGGGTGGACCTGACAGTCCCCATCCTCAGAGACTGTCCCAATCCCCAGCAGCATCCTCCAGCCCTCCAATCCCTCTTCCTTTGCAAACACCCTCACCATAGCCATCCACCTCCAGTCCAGGACTACCTCCTCTGATCCAGTTCTCTGAGCCTCCACTGCCTCCTGCACAGTCAAGTGGATTCTCTGGTGCTGCAACATCAGCTGGCTGCATTGCTGCAGACCAGCCTCCTGTAAGTAGTCTACTCACTATCTGTGGCGCCACAGTCCTCATGTCTGTAATCTGAGACTTTGATTTTGACATGCTGTGTTTGTGTTCTAATGCTCTCTTGCAGTCTGTAGTTCTTGGACCCGATGGCATCCCTGGCTGGGATAAGGTGCAGGTTCTGGCTGTGTACCTGGTGTCCCTCCCTCAGGCTCTGTACCTGGACCAGAAGCAGGTCACAGAGGTCATGTTCCTGTGGTCTGCTCTTCCTGATGGGGACAAGAGGAGGATCCACTATCAGCTCAGACACATAACCAAACTGGCCCATGGGCGCTTCAAGGCCCCCAAGAACACTGGAGTGACCCCAGGTGTGGACAGTGTGAAGAGGTGTCTGATGGGTCATTCAGGGGTCTATCCCAGTGGTCCAGCACCAGCTGCTTAGTGGAGGACATGTGCATCAACCTTTGCTCGCTGCAGTCTGTCTGGCTTCCTCTGTGGACCAAAGTGCTGAGCGACTACCCCCACATCAGAGAACTGGTACTGAACTGCCACTCCCTGATGGAGGCCACCTGTCTGCAGCAATTCCTCCTGAACCAGAGGACTCTTATCCAGTGGTAAATACAATAGGTTTCACACTAAAATCTGAAACAAATACACTATATTGCCAAAAGTATTTGCTCACCCATCCAAATTATTGGAATCAGGTGTTCCAATCACTTCCATGGCCACAGGTGTATAAATTCAAGCACCTAGGCATGCAGACTGTTTTTACAAACATTTGTGAAAGAATGGGTCGCTCTCAGGAGCTCAGTGAATTCCAGCGTGGAACTGTGATAGGATGCCACCTGTGCAACAAATCCAGTCGTGAAATTTCCTCGCTCCTAAATATTCCACAGTCAACTGTCAGCTGTATTATAAGAAAATGGAAGTGTTTGGGAACGACAGCAACTCA